AAGCTTCTTTCACTTCCGACATCCTAATACTACGAATGTATCTATGACCTGTGCCGTCACTTGTACCAATAGTCCCTTCTACCACTATGTTCCCATTGTGTTCGTCATATAATAATTTTTGAAAATGGACTCTCCACCTTCCGTTGGCCTCGTCATCCTTCACGAAGACCCTTGTTCCATATTCTTAATGCATTTAATATGATTTAGATCCCTACACTTTTTCTCTCTTATTTTTTCTAATTTGAAGACATCTTTTTGACCTTCTGTTCTCAGTTTATTGTATAGATTATCATATGCCTTAAGTTTAGCTTTACTTACTATTTGTTTAGCATTTTTCTTAACATTTTTATATTCTTCTAAGTTTTGATCTTTTCTATTACACTGCCAAGATTTATAATATGATCGGTTTTTGCTAATAGCCTTATGAACCTCATCATTCCACCACCAAATTTTCTTATCAAAGTTTCATTTCCCTCTAGATTCTCCTAAAACCACTTTTGCCACTTTCTTGATACATTCAGCCATCTCATTCCATAAGATCCCTTATCATCCATAGTGAACTACTAAGCATCCATAGTGAACTACTGATCATTCATAGTGAACTATTGATACATTCAGCCATCTCATTCCATAAGATCCCTGATCATCCATAGTGAACTATTGATACATTCAGCCATCTCATTCCATAAGATCCCTGATCATCCATAGTGAACTATTGATACATTCAGCCATCTCATTCCATAAGATCCCTGATCAGCCATAGTGAACTACTAAGCATCCATAGTGAACTACTGATCATTCATAGTAAACTATTGATGCATTCAGCCATCTCATTCCATTTGATAGTTGTATATCAAATGAATAAATTGCATAAGATTCCTCTTTGTAGTGAACTATTGATCATCCATAGAATTTGGTGGTATAATTTCAAGATCAATAAACATATCTATACAACTTGTAAAGAAAAGTATCTATACAAGTATCATCAACCGAATTCGGCTATTCCCCATCAACAAATACCAAAAAGGAGCTATTGGATCCAAGAGAGCGGAAACAGCTTCCTATGTGTATATCAGTAAAGAAACCCCAATTTGGTTAAAGAATTATAGGCTCCTTAGCTCAATCACATTAGGAAAGAGACCAGTATCACATGTAAATTCCATTAAATGGTAAACTCTCAGTGAGATCTCACCAAGCATGCCCAGTAAAGTACAGGAACACAAAGAACTCCTACATAAAAAGGGGATCTGATAATGAATGAGCAATGCACAAAGGCCCAACCAAATCTAGCCTGTATCCAAGATTATGTTCTTGTCTTATCACTGAGATTATGCTCTTGAACTTATCACTAGCTCCTTTCACATCCAAATTGAAGGCATTTTAAAGACACAAGTCAATTCTACAAAGCTTTGGAACTTTGAAGCCCTTATAAATAGATCTAGAGAAAGAGAGAAAATGATTCTCCGGAGCTTTGAAGCCTCGATCCCCCACCATAAATTAGAGAGAAAAACGAAGATTCTATAGAGCTTTAGAGATTCAATGCCCCTGTAAATGGATTTACAGGGGGAGATGATGGTTTGCTGAGCTTTGGAGCTGCACTGACCCATAAATGTATTTAGATGGAGAGAGAGAGAGAGAGAGAGAGAGAGAGAGAGAGAGAGAAAGAAGACCATTTACAAGCTTTGGAGCTCAGATAACCCACATAAATGAATTGAGAGAGCGAAGACAATTTTACACATCTAAATGGAAGGCAACCTGCACTTCTCAAAGCCATGGAGCTTCAATGCCCTATTAATGGATATAGAGTGAAAGGCGAGAGGGTGAAGCAGTATCCCAGAGATCCAATCTTGTTAATTGCAAAAGAGGTAGAAGTAGAAACCCACTCAATATGGTTTTCCAAGTCATTTAAAATTCTAGTCAGACTTGAAATTTTAGAGGACTACGATATTAGGCGGTAATCTGAATCTTAAGAGGATAGCATTTCACCTTATCAATCAGGGTTAAGAAGCATTTTTTATTCAGATTATATTACATTCTGCACTACACTGAAATATCAGGACATTGCATGGCTATCAAACAAGCCTCGAATAAATTTGCACATTAGAAAGGCTTGAAAGATGCCTACCCAAATAGAAACACAGATTGTCCTTTTTTTGGACAATCAGATCAAGAATTTAGACAACTCAAAATTAGTCTTAAAAGAAAATGGCAATGATCTAACTCCGTTTTCCTAGGTTGAATTGGAAGGCCCCTATTCACTTCTCAAAAAAGTCATTTTTCAGGTTTCATCTTTTACTCTTGTTAACTGCTGCCAAGAGAGAGCAAGCACAAAATTTGGATCCCACAAAAATGCCCCTAAGGCCCCAAAAAAAGAGGTATAGCCAACCCTATAGTGGTCTGCCTAGGGGCGAACTAAATCATTTTCCTATATATTATGTGGGTGAATTTGTGTGTATGGAGATATAGAGAGCGAGAGAGAGAGCCTGGATTTCTTACATAAGTAAATCCACACATTGAGTTGCCTCATGCCCTCACTAATGTGGGAAAGCTTACTATATATCATCTCTCAGCCGCCCGCTCTGAATAGATGGTTGGGATAGCTTCGAGCATAATATCACGAGTGAGCCACTAGTCATTTGATCTAAGTCAGACATCTCAAAGTATATCAATTATAATTTTTTCTACAAACCATATGAATGTAAAATTTGGTGTGTGTCATCATCTCAATGGGGGGCACCTAACAAAATATTTAGAAATTATTTTCAAAAATAAAATGACCAAAATACCCCTAAAACTTTCAGGAGTATTTTTATCATTTTATTTTATAAGGATTTTTTTTTTTTACATTTTCTGTTGGTGTGAACTTAAGAGATGATTGGACGACCCCAAATTTGGTGTCAATATCATTTATAAAAAAAAATTAGACAATTTTACATTTTTAGTTGGTGCGAAATTAAGAGATGATTGTACGACCCCAAATTTGGTGTCAATATCATTTATAAAAAAAATTAAAAAATATAACAGTATTTAGGCATGACATTGCTATTAGGGCCATCGCAATTATCCATTCAAATCAAAAGACTAGGAGACGAGAGATGTGGGTATATATATGGGCGGGGATGTATAGTAAGCTTTCCCCACTAATATAGTCGACACGCTTTCGTTAAGAGAACGTTTAGGTTATACAACAATTAAATACCACATTCTTCAACACTCTAGTGAGTACAACGGAGTATAATTTGAACCACCACCACCTACTTCTACCTACAGCTAACCAGTATGGAAACGAGCTATATGAGGCAATGTTTCAAAATGCGGGATGCAGACCCAATGCGGTCGGGGGGCTGATGCGGATGTGGTCCAAATGCAAGCGCATCACCCCGATGTGGTCAATAAACATAAAAAAATTCCCAAAAAATCTCAAGAAAAGGTGAATGCATGAAAAAATATATGGAGGTGATTTATATGATAGTCAGTATTTAATTTTTTCATTAACTCCAATATTATCAGCTATCGAAAACTCTGAATCCCTTGATAGAAGACGTTAGAAAGCACAAACTAGAAACTTGAAAGTAACTTTATGGAATACATAAGAAGACATCATATTATCATAAACATCCAAAAACTATGCTTGCAATTCCAAACTTTGAAGTTGCAAACTCCAAAGATACATACAACTACTAAAAGTCTATGAAGAGTTCAAGAGTCAAGACAAACATAGAAGACAATAGCAATCAAAAGATAAGTTATCCATGTATTCTCCAATCTTTCTTTTTATCTCTTTGGTTGCTTGTGGGCATGCTCTGACATTCTCAGTAATTACCGCCTAGGTATTCTTTTTGTCAATAAATCCCCCATATAAGTATTTCTATGAAGAATAAAAATAACACTTTGATCTTTTGGATTTTTGAGTTTTACATAATTCCAAGCCGGATCCTTGTTACTCGAAGATTGTGAAGACATTACCCAAAAAAAAAAAATAGTGTTAGGAAATGAAATTTTACTGATTAATCAAAAAAAAAAAATCAATATCTTCTCGGCCCTTGAAACCCTCGATGTGTTGATTAATCTACCCCCAAATTTCTTCAAATCAATGCCCAAGCCAATCCTAATTGATAACCCAACCAAGATCCAAAGCGATCCCATCATTTTGAACAAAACAATTTTGTCCAAACGTTTTTTTACCATTTTTTATGATATGTTTTTTGAGTTTGGGGGGGATCTGCAAAACCCTTTCGCGCCCCCCCCCCACCCCCCCTCCCAAAAAAAAAAGGAATTTACCTAACTACCCACGCTCGTGGGCATTATATTCGCCCATGAGCCCAGGCAATGTATGCAGGCGCATATGCATGATGCAGCCGCAATATAAAACATTGATATGGGGACCACAAGGAAAGACTAAAGTAATAGACAATCTATGCAGGGTACTAGTCTTAAGGAATAAAAGGGCACCTAGTCTTGGAAAACCAAAATATATCAGTTTCAAGCTCCATCACCACAGCATCAAACTACACCATAATGCTATCCAGTCAGAAACAAAAACCTAGTCCTAAAAAATGCACTTGGATGTTTTTAACAGTAGAACACAAGTAATCCTGTTCTATCTTTGTTATTATGAAACTGCTAGCCCATAGTATTCGAAAATAAATTCAGATTTAGTAGTTAGTCCTCTATTTTTAACAATATATGAAACTATGAAGGATATGCTATCTTTGTCCCAAATACCTAAAGCTCAACTTCTTGTGCCAATAGATTCAAGTCAAGCATTCACAATCCCAACTTGTTTTATTGCAGTTTACATCTGACAATAAAACAACAACTTTATACTAACTTTAGTGCTTCTAAGAGCATCTCCGAATGCTGCACCAGAAAACTCTGCTCTAAGGGATATAATTTAAGAGAAGAAATGTAGTTCAGAGTTTTTTTTTTATATAGTTCTATTGTGCTAGAATATCAAACGACAAATAGCAAGAGAAATTTATCCATTTATCAAGGCATACCATAGTCGTGGATCCTCAGGTGTGTGACATAGTCGGGTCTTGATAAGATCAATGGCAGCAGCATTCTTCTCTAACAAGCTGCCAAAGATATTTCAACTCATATCAAATCTTCGTAAATAAAATGACAATCAAAGGGAAAGAAAAGGGATAATTCCATGGAGTCAAACCAGTGATAAGTAATCATGTCATACCGATAGCAAAGGATTAGGTTATCCCACAGCTCCAGTTCCTCAAAGATTTTGAGTGCGTCCCCAATCATGCCACAAGCGACTAAAAGTTCACCATATTCTCTACCAGCAGAAAAGGAAAAAACCAGGTTCACTATGCATGTACCAGCACAATTTTTCTCTCAATATCTACAGTCCACATTGAGATAATAATAACATGGAAGAAATAAGCCCATGTGGAAATCAAAGCGAAAGGGATAAAATTCCTACAAGCAAATGAACAATCGATGCAGCACATTAATAAATTCAATAAAATATAAACAAACAAGATGTATTTACTTCTGCAATGCTGGAATTGTTGGAGCATAAACCACAAAAGCATAGTGGATCCGATGTCCAGCACTAGGAGAAACCTCTTTAATGTCGTTGACCTGAAATATATCTGATCGTATTAACCAAGCATCAAAAAAAAAACACCAGGATAGACAATGAAATTAAGAACATCATGGCCTTCAACAACTCATTATAAAAATAAATCATTCTTTTATCTACCAAGATTAATTGAATAAAAAATTATAGCTTACTTAGGAAAGCCAGACGGAAAAGCAACACAATGCCTTGTACAATGCCAGACAGAAAAGCAACACAATGTCTTGCATAATGCACCGAAAGAGCAAAGGTTCTGTAAATAGTTAAATGCCAATTGTTACAAGGATGCAACAATGACCACCGTGGCAGAACCTTAGCAAGATGCACACAGATTTAGATGACACCATCAAGCACAAGAAATGTCTAGTCAAGCAAGAGTGAGATAGACTTGCCACCAATGAACCATTAAGCGCAATGGCCATCCAGGAGTATTTTGGCCTGTTAAGGGGCCCAACCTAGCATGTCTAGCCTCAAGCAAATGAAAAGCTTCAACAATCTAAAGATACAAGTACAGCCACCCATTTTGCAACTACTGAATCAATTCAGCAAATTAATAGGGATGATAATGAAATAGTGAACATGAACCAAGAAGCCAATATCAATACTATGGTCTGAGAGGGTAAAGACATCCACTGTGCCGTTAAGACTCAGAATAAAGTTAGCAGTTTGCCCAGAAAAGGCTCCAAGATGGCCAGTCTAGAAGATTTCACCCACATGAAAGACATAATAGTGATCACAAATGAGAATGACTGCAAACAAGAAAAAGAAATTCATCAAATATGGTATGGGCAAACAAAGTCAATAGTACAAGTGATAAAGAGCAAAATCATCGACAATTTACCCCAGATCCAATCTTTTTGTGAAATTATTCTATTGTCACAAGTAGTGTAATCAAACTCTTAGTGGGCCTGGAATTACCCGACCAGTTTTTCAAAAAGTGCTAGGTGGGTCCTAGGAGGCCTGGGGAGGCGGGTACCCAGGAGGGCAATGGGCAGCCCAAAACATGGGCGGCCCGGTTATGAGGTTCTTGTATCAAGCAATTGATCATGCAAAGCAGGTCATCAAAGGCACATGCAATTTACATTCAAAAGTATGGGAGATAATTGATCAGCGATGAAATAACTTGTCACACCAATCTATAAACATAGCAGGAAAGTTTAACATTAAACATAACATGTAATACTTATAGGAAGTTTAGTTTTGGAATTTGGATTATAATTTATAAATGGTTTCTAATTGATGGGGATTCATGACAAAATTATGAGATCTTGTGTTAAATGCGTTTGCTATCATCTACTTTAACCACACTCACTTTGAGATCATGGAGGAGGTGAAATATTCGAAAAAGAGATTCGAGCGAGATAGCACAGATTGAACCTCTAAAAATAGGTAAGAAAAATATTTTCATGAAGAAATTCCCTCAACTTCAGGCATATGTGTTATGTAAATCACATTTATCTTGATTATTTTTGCTCAGCTTTCTCTATATATTTGCCTCAAACCTGGCTAAAAATTCACGCACTCAGCTAATCCAATTTAATTTTCAAGTTCCTATAGAACCAAAGTATTCTGTTGCACATGCTTTTAATGTTGTTTGACTCCATTTTTTAGTTTCTTCTCCTTTTTTTAAGAAAGTGATGGGAACAATATGGCAAGGATATCCCCACCTACAAAGTAGAGCCATCAAGGTGCTCAGTTCAGCCCAACAAGTTCTGGAAATGGTGTGAGCAAATGGCATACGTTCTAGTGTATCCACAGATCAAGGAATAGGTTAGCCGTAGCCAAGTTAGACAAGCCAGTCTATATCAATTACAACATAAACCTCCGAAAGTGGCAATCGAGAAGGACGACAATCTTATCAATTCAGATTATAGATTCATAGAGGATCCAGCAGATGGAAGTGAAAGAGCCAGGTCTCAATAGCGGGTACTAGAAGACTTACGAGACTTTGGGTTAGGAGCGGCTACTGAAATTACATAATCAACAAAGTCATTTGTAAATCATTATAGAGATAACCAAAACAACCACGATCAGGATGACTATGATCCTCCTGTCATTCACAGAGGTTGTAATTGGAGTCCATCCATATTGGCTATAGTTTGAGTCACTTTTGCGCATGTGATAATGTGATTATTGCTATATACTCTAACTTAGACCATTGACTCTAATGCCTGCCAGTTAAAACTTTGGTATCTTAAGTTTTCTATTTCTTTCTCCATATTACATAAAATCTTTCTACCTTTTTCATTTTTCTCGAGTTTCGCATTTGCTCCCATTTTTCTGCATTTTTTCTACTTTTTACACTTTTTGGGGGACTCATCAGACATGCCCAGCCAACTCAGCCATGCCCTACTCCATTGCAGGTTTTTAGAAACCGATCATTGGAAAATGCATTGCCACGTTTGCTCCCAATTCTCAGTCAAGATCATATGAAAATCTTATGAACTTCAGTGAAGAAAGACCAAGTATGCAAGGATTCAACACAAAAGCGTAGAGCTGCAGATAATATAATAAACTTACCAACTCATCCATCATCAGCAAAGCACGTTGCTTAGTACGATTACGAGTAGACTCCCATCGTACACGTAAAATCTCACAAAAACACCTAACCTGGAATTGACAAAATGAAAAATAAAAACAAAAAATAAGGGAAAGCAATCATTACTCCCTTATTTTGAAACTTGTACAAGCTCCTAACAGCAACCATATTTTCAGGCATTAGGCTGCATGCCTTGATATAATATAGTTATTGAATTGATTGCACAATGATAATAGAGCGTTCCATTCAGTTCAAAATGAGTTGAATTATTGTACATGTCCAATATATTATCTTTTAGCCTACTATACTATTATTTGGATCATGAAATACATTGCAGTTCATGAAAAAGAAAAATATGCAAATCTTCCATGGTCACCTACAAATGAGGTGATTATCCCCATAAAATTTTGACAAGTCGACCGCTCAAGGTCCTAAGAAGCTAAGTTCTAGTTACATTATCATGCATTTAAAAAATATCCCATGAAAAAAAAAGGTGCATACAAGCAACTGGATGAAACATGTGACCATGCCATCAAGAGATTTTTGGTCTCGTAATGTATTTCACTAGAAAATAGATTAAGCTCCTGCGGAAGTATCTACTCATTACGGAATCTCAGGTGTCAAAGTGTGGATCTCATATGGTCAAAAAAAAGAGGGACATGCTATATCCGAAACATATGAAATAGCGTAAATATCGTAAAGGCAGATGTAGTAGCGGTCGCGAACCGGACAGTACAAAACTAGGTCTTGGAAGATATGGCACAAAAAGTTGTGGTGCTGGTCGTCTTTCATAGCGAGCCATTGAAACAGCGCGTCGTGCTATGAGCAGACAATTCTGAAGAAATGGTAAGATATGGGTAAGAGTTCTCGCGGATCTCCCTATTACCAGTAAACCTAAAGAAGTTAGAATGGGAAGAGGAAAAGCAAATCCTGTGGGTTGGATTGCTCGTGTGTCCACAGGACAAATCCCATTTGAAATGGATGGTGTGAGTTTGTCAAATGCTCGACAGGCCGCTACATTAGCGGCGCATAAACTATGTTTGTCAACCAAGTTTGGTCAGTGGTCATAACGTAATTGGTTAGCGAGACTCAAAAGAATTAGGCGAAGTGTTGTGTTTGTTCCTGAACGTCAGCAAAGCGTAAAACATTATCACAAATGTCACCCATTGCATAATAAGAGAAATATGCACACCATGTAGTGAGAAAGTTGTTGCGCATCGACGGCCTCTATAAATGGAGCCATCTCCCATTCTGCAAATCCAAAAGATCCACAATAATATAAAAATCAATCTGAATAACGCATTAAAAACACGAGGGGAGTAGAAGAACATACTAAATGCATCTATAAAACTTCACAAGATCAAAGAATAATAGTATCAAACAATGTTATACTCCATTTATAAAATTCTACAAGAATAAGCAACAACAGCATCAAACTACACTATGTATATAATTTTCATCAAAGAAATTATGGTATGCATATTTTAGACTAAATAAACATATGCTACAGTTGAGAAACATACTCTGCATTTCATCATCTGGAGTGTTCTTTCTTATAAAAAGGCAATGTGCAAGGATCACTGCCTGCTGAATGGTATCTAAAGCCCGTATTGCAGTTCTGCCGCTTTGGATGATGCTATCAACAACTCCAATGTCTTTTCCAGCTCTTACTAGCCTTGGAGCCATCAAAATGTCACATTCCTCATGAAGACCATCAGAATAGGTAGTTCTCTCATCTTTATCAATAACAGAACCATCCCTCTGGACCTGGGAGTATTCAAGAGGACCACCATTTCCTGTGCTTTTGGCATTTGGAGTTGCAATTAAGACCATCTGAGCCTTTGCTTCGGCCTATGCAAGCGCAGAAGCCACAGAACATGAGCAATAAAAACCTTTTAAGTTGATATGAAGACAAAATAACAATAGAGTTACCTGATGCACAGTTCGAAAACCAAGGACACCAGTGACAGAAAATTGAAGCCCGCATGCTACTTCAGCATTTTTAAAATGTTGCCTGGAGATGACACACTAAATCATAAGCACAAGTAGGATAACTAAAACTATAATGGACAAGAACCACATAAGCTAAATTATGGAGGAAGTTACGCTAAAGGAAGGTCTAGCTTTTTTTTATTTTTATACATCACATGACGCAAAACCACATAGGCACACACATATCATCATAGCTGAACCCAGATCACATTAGTCTCCACTAAAATCCATCAACCAACCATGCCATCCACCAAGATTCCCTTCTGAAATACAAGGGTTGCACCCACTTTTCTAATTTAAATACCTCCATACTGCCTCAACTCAAGGGGCCGTCACTTGGTGTGACGGTAAAAGGCTCGAGTAGCCAGCGCAAGAGCGCGGGTTCGAGTCCTGAGAGCGGCCACTTTGAGCATAAGTCTAAGGTTAGGACCGCTTCCAGCCCACCCCTCCGAGGACCTTGCTTAGGCGATACCAACACTGGGTTACGGCCCCTCATATTGCCTAAACTCATTCTATGTCCATTCCTGGGTGATTGATCATGTAGGTTTCCCACCCCAACAAAGTCATAAAGCATGACCCCATTGCTAAGTCCTTGCTCAACTGCTTGAACTGCTCACCCAACCTCCAGGCTCATTTCGAGAACAATCTTGAACCTGCCTTGCAGTACATCTAGGTCCAAGGACAATTGGAGTTCAATTGCACAAGTTGGTTGGCAACTCCATTTCATTCTCACGGATCATGGCTGATTATATGTGTAGATTTTTATAAGTACTAAAGAGTTTTAGAAGTTTGGAATAATAAAATATTTTTTACTTTTTCCCTGTTCTTGATTACAAATCCATAATTACATGAGCAAAAAAAGTTGAGCAATATAGCATATATGTTCTACTATCTACTGTCAGAGAACATATAGAGAGAAAGGAGAAAAAGACAGAGAAGAAGAAGAGAGAAAGAGAAGAGAGGAATGCGAGAAACATGAGATGAAAGAGAAAGAAGTGAGGTTCAACCCACCCTCACACACCTCTCAGCCTTATATTTTATTAAAATTTATGGTATGGACAAAACTGCCCAAATATAATTAAGAATCTTAGGTCCAAAACTTGGATAAAAAAAAAGATTTTAATACTCCCCCTCAAACTGGAGCATAAATGTTGCCCATGCCTAGCTTGAAACAAAATTGTTCGGAACATATTACGACCAAGGCCTTTGGGGAAAATGTCTGTCAGCTGACAATTTCGAAAAAAAAAAAATGTCTGCCAGCTGATCCCTAGATTTCACATATGGAGTAGACAGCTACTTACTAGCAACTATCTCCCAAATAAAATGACAGTCTACTTCAATATGCTTGGTCCTTTCATGGAATACTGGATTACTGGCTATATAGGTAGCAACTTTGTTATTGCAATACATCTTAATAGGTTCAGCAACAATAAAGCCCATCTCCTGCATCAATGTTTTCAGCTACATCAGCTCACATGTAGTGTGTGTCATTGCTCTATATTCAGCTTCGGCACTAGATCTTGCCACAACATTTTGTTTCTTACTTCTCCATATTACCAAGTTTTCACGAATGAATATACAATAACCTGTAGTGGACAGCCTATCAGATGGTGATCCTTCCCAATCAGCATTTGAGTAACATTCAATGGCCAAATGATTATTTGGCTTGTATATCAAACTGTGACTTGGGGCTCCCTTCATATACCTTAAAATTCTACAAACAACATCCCAATGAGGAATCCTCGGAGCAAGCATAAATCGACTAACAATACTAACTGCAAAAGCAATATCAAGCCTATGACGGTTAGATAAATCAGCCTGGCAACCAATCTTCTATACTATCCTGGATCCTCAAACAACTCCCCCCGATCAGCCAATAATTTCGTTTTTTTTTTAATAAGAGTATCCACTGGTCTAGCACCCAATGTTTCAATTTCTTTCAATAAATCAGTCACATATTTTCTTTCTGACAAACTAATGCCATACTTTGATCTAACTACTTCAATTGCTAGAAAATACCTTAGATGGCCCAAATCTTTAGTCTAAACATATTGTTTTGGATGTCTCTTCAAATGACTAATTCCTTATTGATAATTGCCAATAACAATGGTATCATCAACATAGACAACTAAAAGAATTATTTTGGAGTCTTGTTTCCAAATAAACACATAATGATCTGCATGCCTGCGCCAACATTCATATGTTATAACAATTTCACTGAATTTTTCAAACCATGCCCATGAAGACTGTTCAGGCTCATAAATGGCTTTCTTCAACTTATACACTTTATCTGACTTCCCTTGAGCAACAAACCCAGGTGGTTGCTCCATGTACACCTCCTCTTGTAAATCACCATAGAGAAAGCATTTTTAACATCAAGTTGCCGCAACAGCCATCCCTTGTTGGAGGCCACAGATATAACCACTTGAACTTAATTTGTGTGCACCCCTTGGCTACCAATCTGGCCTTTAATGTTTCTTCAATTGTATCAGGTTGATATTTGCTGCATAAACCGATCGTCACCAAACCGTCCCTTTTCCAGTTGGTAACTCGGGAGTTCCCATTTATCATTTGAATGAAGAGAATCCACCTCCTCTTCCATTGCTCTCTTCCACCCAGTATTAGAAAGTGCATCCTGGTAAGCCTTAGGAACAGAAATAGATGAGTGGACTAAAGCAAAATTTTGATATGATGGAGACAAATTCGTAAAGGCAACAAAATGTGCAATTGGATGTTGAGTACAAGACCTGATACGTATACGGATAGCAATAGGAACATCATCATCACCACAAGACTGACATGGATCAGCAGACGAAGATGACTATTGAGAGGCCGGCTGAGTTGGTGGGGGATGTCCAGCTTGCATTTTTCTTCTGGTGTAAACCTTTATGGGCTGCTCTTGAGAAACATCATGATGTATACATGCACTAGATTCAGTAGAGTCATGCAACTAAGGTGTAGAAAAAGTATGAATAAGGATAGGAAAAGGAATCATAGAAGGCAAGGACTTTGAGACTTCCTCAGAAGTAGGATAATTATTATTTCTATCAATCACACGACTCTCTTCTGAAAAGAATGGAGTACTTTCAAAAAAGGTAACATCAGCACAAATAAATTTCTTTTGTAAACCAGGATGATAACGACAATAACCTTTCTAGAAGTGTGAATATCTGAGAAAGATACACTTGACGGCATGGGGATCTAGCTTATCATTACCAGTACCTAATATATGAACAACGCAAGCACACCAAAAACTCGAGGAGGAACAACAAACAGTGGAGCATCAGTAAAGAGAACAAAATCGGGTGTTTTTCCATTCAAGAATGAAGAAGGGTTACAATTAATTAAATAGCATGCGATCAGTAAGGCATCTCCCTTATGATCCTTTGGAACATGCATATTAATAAGCAAAGAACGGGATACTTCAAGTAAGTGTTGATTTTTTCTTTCAGCAACCCCCTTCTGTTGAGGAGTATCGCACAAGACATTCGGTGCAAAATTCCACATTCAGGAAAATAAATAAGAACTTCTTTAAAAAGATACTCCTTACCATTATCAGACCACAAAATACACACATTCTTATTGAATTAAGTCTAAACCACCTTGTGAAACAATTGAAAAATAGAGAAAATCTCAGATCTTTTTTCTTGTCATTCGTGGATAACCATCCACAAAGATACTTATGAACAGACAAACTTTGTACTCTAGCTGGACCCCATCTATCAAAATGAACCATAGTAAACGGAACAAGTCTCTGTTTGTCAACTCTAGGACAAAATGACACTCGATGATGCTTTCCTAACTGACAAGCTTCTCATTCTAAAGAAGACATAGACTCTAAAGAAGGGACTAACAACTTCAAGTTCTTGAGAGAAGGATGACCCAGCCGACAATACCATAAGTAAGGAGAATCAGCATAGTGAAGAGCAGCACCAATAAGGTTATGACCCAAGTACTATAGGCCACCTAACTCATACCTGCCACCAATCGTCAGCTTCGTCTTTAGATCCTGAAAGACACAAGAAGAAGGATAAAAGGTTACAAAACAATGAAGAGATTTGGTTAATTTGCTAACAGATAATAAACTGAAGGGAAACTTTAGGACATATAATACAAATGACAGAGAAAGGAAGAAGTAGGTATAATTGCACCTTGCGCTAACACATTGAACAGCGATCCATCAGCTAGAGTAACAGAAGAATTAGGAATGCACTAATTTAGAGATTCAAATATAGAGGACTCGCCAGTCATGTGATTGCTCCTAAGTCAATAACCCAAGGAGCAGGTTTCTGAGAGGCAAGAAGCTCAAAAGTACCTGAATTTGCAAGGGTGATAGTAGAAGAGGAAGAAGGAGCCATAGACCGTTGTACTTGTTTAACAAGTTGATTATATTCTTCTTTGGAAAGCACAATAGAGTCACCAAAAGAATCTAACTATTGTTGATGATCACTAAGTCTACTCAGATAAGGCTCATCGCTCTCAGATGTGTAAGTAACTGGGCTTGCCCAAGCAGGCTTACCAACCTTGTCCCAACACTTATCAACCGTATGATCTATATGCCCACAATGCATACACTTATGAGTCCTATACCTCTGCCACCATCACCTCTACCTCGGCCTCTTCCTGAATCACAACCACGTCCCCAACCTGTGCCTCCATCACCTCTCCTTACAATATTCAATGCCAATACCATCACTAATTCTTGAGTCAAAAGGAGAGGGAGAAGCAGATATATTGATTCATTCAATGCACAAGTAAACATTAGCGAGAGATGGAAGTTCACTGCTAGCCAAGATCAGTTCACGTACAAAATGGTATTTAGGATTAAGGCCAAATAAAAATTTGGTAATCCTAAATTCCTCACTCCGCCTCTTTTGTAATTCCACATCATCAAATATAGGCTGATATAGATTCAGCTCTTCCCACATACCTTTGAGGGTACTACAATACTCACTCACACTCTTATTACCTTGTCGCAATTGAAACATTTTCTCGAACAGCTCATATACCTAGGATATATTTTTATCTGATGACTATGTTTCTTTCAAAGTGTCCCAAATTTCCTCAGTTGTATCAAGAAACATCACATTAGCACTTATTTGGGGTTCCATACTACTCCACAACCAGGTCATGATTATGTAATTCTCTCTTATCTACTCTCCATATCTACTATCAGAATTACCAGGTTTGTCCTCAGTCAGATAGTTCATTTCCCCCTTGCACCCAGGGACACTTTGACAGATTGAGACCCTACAACATAATTGGAACTCATTTAGTTTTACAGACGTGATTTGTATCCCCACAGTCTCAGAAAGACTAAGAATTCAAGCTTTACTTTCCATGAGCATAAAAGATAAAGGAGAAGGACAACCAAGATTAGCCAATGTCAGTCACTCACACAAGCTTAGTACAATTTAAAAACAACTTAAAAAGGTGAGAGATACTTATCATTCAAATCTCACACTTGAACAAATTAGGGCAACACCACATTAAACACATCTGAGCATCACCATGTTGCCAACATTGAAACTAGGTCATGATCTCTCTGTAGATCTTGATATGTGCAGACAGTACTTTAGCATACTGTAGCACATACTATGGCAGAGTATTGTACCATGTTACTGCAGTTTTATGATTAAAAAAAAGGAAGAAAGGGGAAGATAATGATTCCCCTCTCTCCGTCCCCCCCCCCCCAAAGGGAAGGGCTAAAAAAAAGAAAGGACGAAAGGAAAGGGGAAAAAAAGGGTAAAGAATTCAGGAAAGAGAGGATTCAAGAACCATAAAGGATTAGTTTTGATACAATGTCAAAGAATATAGAGAGAGAAAAATAGAAAAAGAAAGAGAAGAAGAGAGAAGAGAGAAATAAGAGAGGAAAGAGAAAGACATGAGGTTCAACCACCCTCACGCACCTATCAGCCTTATATTTTATTGAAATTTATGATATGGTCAAAACTGCCCATACAAATATAATTCGGACACTTAGGTCCAAAACTTAGATAACAAAGGATTTTAACATCTAAAATCAATGCTATGAGAAATTTTGGAAGAGCAACAATGCCAATGTCATTATCATAAAGGAATTGATAAACAAAAGAAATGAATGCCCAAACTAGAAGTTGATGAGTTGTCTGGGGATGAAGAGACAAATCTTAGATAATACAAGTTAAATTTGCATTATATAGAATTTTGCGATGAACCAAATTAGATTTCCTTTACAAACCCTTTGCTAGAACAAGCAAGTCAAAGGACACAGCTGACTTGGAGCACAAGTATATTTAGATGGCCAATAAGAAATTAGCTAGAAATGGACCTTAAAGACATGAAATTAAAATGTGGAGGAGCCTGCACCCCATCTAGATTTACACAAAACCATGATTGATTCAACTCTTCAGTTAGCATGTGAAAGACCTGCTGAAAATTCAGAGACAAAATGAAGGCTTTCCACACATCAGAAATTTACCTAGAAAGGACATAAAGAGAATAAATTCCAAATTCTTACATATGTCAGAGACACTTTAATAAGATGAGATTAATCCACAACCCCTAACTGGATTAAGGTAAAGTTCAGCATAAAGATACAAGGTAGCTGTTGTTGAAGATGGCAAGAAAACTTTTCCAGATAAAGAGGGAATATTATTAGATTAGAAAATAATTACAATCATGAGATCCTTCAGGTAACTCAGCATCTACAAGGTTTAAATCACAATATGATAGAATCATTATAGCCATTTTCAAGCGATACTTACCCAGAAATATCCGTATGACTATATGCATGCTCTATAATTCCTGCTTCCAAATGTGCTGCAGACACAATCTTTGGAGCTTCTCCTTCACATAACTTGGTTCCCCAATAAGCAATAACTTCTTCCAAACTTCCAAAATGAAATAACGTTTCTTGAATCAATTCTTGCAATGTATTATACAATGAAATTGACCTATCCTCCAAGATTCTTTGTTGGAAAAAAATGACTCTGGATAACCACCATGAAATTGTTTTCATTCTGGTACACTTGGGTGTCTTTCCAGCCAAATGCATATCTTTGACCTTGGACACCAACAACTTTGCAAAAACTAGGTACTGCAGGATAAAAGAAAAAATATAAGCCTGTCTATGCAAGACTACTTAAATTGAAATTGAGAAACATTAGCAAGGCTGATAGAACAGTAAAATTGTATAAATTTTCAAATCCGGCAAGGAGAGCACATATGGGGAAAAGAGCTGGGGAAGATTTCCAAAAACACTATAAATTCACTGAACAACAAGTATCTCATAAACATTGCACAACGGTGAATAAAGGTGTGATTGAACTATTAGATGAGATGATCCATTCTAGAGTAAATGCTCATTCATCCAACAAAGTAAGAAAAATTTCACAGAAATAGAAAGGAGGGGGGGAGAGAGAGAAAGAGAAAGATAAAGAGAGAGAGAGAGAGAGATTACCCATACAATGTGTAAAAGACCAAAAAAAAAAATGTGCACAATACCCACCTAATCATGCAATAGCAATTCTTTCCTCATAACTCACATTTATTCACTTAGAAAGGCACAAATATGGACTTTAGGAGATTCAAAACAGATACATGTAAACAGACACTCAGGAAGATGACATTTCCAAAGGCTAGGTCCTCGAGAAACAACAGCCTCACTAGTCAATGCATCAGCAACCTTAATGGTAAGGCATGATAAAAGCAGAAAATCAACATATCACCAATCATTAAGATCTTCATAATGACAATTATCCTTCATATCTCCATTGGTCACAGCCTAAGGCCTTGAGTTCTTTATGGCCACAGGCTAAAGCCTTCAAACTGAATGTATCTCAACTTGGTATTTTAGGTACCACAGGGTCCAAAACCAATCAGGATAAGTTAGTAAAGTTACTAAAGCTTAAGCTGGTTTGGGGGAACGAGTCCCTGCAGGCAAGAAGTGGGGCAAACCCTAGGCCATTCAAGATTGCAGACTGTAAAGAAGATTCTAGATATTACCTTGTTCCTGATTGTGTAAAGAGATGCCAATGGAGCAGATTATCTGCTTGTAAGGAATGAGGTGTCTAAGAGAATTTTAACGGTGTCGAAACTCTATTGATTCATCGTAGTATCCATGCTTGTTACTAGCCTCATACTTATGCACCTCATTACAAGAAGTTAATTATCCACAAAATCATTAATCCTCCTACACTTATGTTCAACTGCGAACACAATATAGGTTTCCAAGGATCCTTTGGAAAGTTTTTCTTTTCTTTTCTTTTTTTAAAGACAGTTAATTACTAAAAAGTAAAAAGAAAAAGTATTCATTTTTATCTTTAAAAAGGAAAAAATCACCAAAAGAAAACATAAAGGCAACAAAGCACAATCATAGCTGAAGGACCAGGACCATAATGTAGATGCCCATAATGCAGTTAAAATTTCTAATACACAGGAATGTCAAGCAGCATTTTATATGCAGATTGCATTAATAACAGTATAAAAAAATAACTTAATTACCTGCAGATATAAATATTTTCCATGCAAATCGGAACCATCACAAATGAGCTGAGATCGAGCCCACTTGTTCCATTCAGTTACATCTCTAGAAGTGTTGCAAAGTAACTGCAAAGGACATGCAGGGAAATCTCCTGGGGGACTGTAATAATGAAAAAACAACATATTGGCTAATTGTAAACAATCCGATGTCAAGTGATTAATGCTTTTATTATGCATAATGTAAGGATATGAAATGAGGAAAAAGTACATAAAAGAAGTCAACTATGATGCAAAAGCATAGGTGAACCTCCTTATTTTTCATAAGTAAAGCACACATTGCCCTCTAGAAAAAATATTCCCAAGTGCCAAAATCCTTTCAACTTCAGCATGAAAACTTTCATTTCTCAATACCAATGCTTATTTTGCAAATTAAAATGAGTTTATAGGTTTTCGTGAGATGCTCATGATGATCAATACTTAATGATCCATATTTAGGCTTTAAATTTTCAATATATAATTTTTCATATTGTTCTTTTCTTTCCAACTATTACAGTTTCAGATTTAACTTCTTATTTCCCCAAATCTATCAAAAGCGAAGAGAAAGAAGATGAAATAAAAGAAACTGTTACCTTTACCGGAAGCATGTGTTTGCCTCATTAATCCAAAATCCAACACACAAAATCCCAATATTTTACACAAATAAATTCAGAATTTACATAACAATCGAACGTAAAAATACACCCATAATCCTTTTCTTTTATGATAAATTTAAATAATACTTGACTAATTTTACAAAACTGAAAACAGAAGTTCCATATGTAAGCATGAACGTCACATTTAAAGATAATGCAATTCTATCCCGTAATGATCATACTTACCCGGTAAGATTGCACTGTGTAAAAACCAAAAGAGCTGCAATTCCGATGCACATAACTAAGAGCCCTTTGATATCCTTGTCAGGATCATCGTCTGAGCCTAATGCATCAAGCCAGGCCTCAGATTCATTTCCAACCAAGAAATTCACAACTGCTCTCTCAACTTCACCAAATAAATTCTCAGCCCCTGCCCTTGTTTCATCAGACCTATGAGCTCCCAAGGAACCAAATATGAACCGAGAAGCATCAGAATTTAGGGCTTCACTGTAACTCCCCTTCTCAATCAATTCAACAAGATGCTCAAGCAAAGCTTGAAATGGTCCTGGTTGTGAAAAACAGACAGATGAAGAAAGAGAAGAAGAAGGAGAAGCTGGGGAGAGTGAGCAGCGAAATAGTCGGAGCTCGAAGTCTCTTAGGGTTTCTTCATCTGCTTCAGCCATGGCGGGAGCTAAACTTGTTATTAGAGAGTGGTCATGGAACTAGGGTTTCGGGTTCTCTCTACTTTAGTCTTGGAGGAAGCTAATAACTGGTTTGCAGAGATTTAGTAAAAACTAGGGTTTTGTATATGGCGGGAACTGAGTTTTAAGCGTTGCAACATTTTATATGGAGATCGAGTAACGTGGCAGCGAGACTTCCAGTACGTTTTTTTGGTTCAACGGACCAATGCCACCTTAGGGACCCGCAGTCATCGAACCGTTCTCGGACCCGACAGGCCCGATTGGACCCAAACTCAAAAATTAAAATATCTATGTATTTAAATATATTTTAATATATTTATATAAATTGATAAATGTGTGACCCAAACCCAAATAGTGTTCGGGTTTAAGATTTGGATCCGGACCCGACCCGTCAGGTTCCATTTTTTAACCCATACCCCGACCTCAGGTTCCGGTCCATTACCACCCCAATTATTTTTTGAAATTTGGCCACCAATGTTTTGTAAAAAGATGTGGTTTCTATAAGGCCTAGGCCTCATGGAATAAAGTAAAGCTTCTCCTCAAAATCTCATTGGAAAACATTCCGAGCATGAAAAATTTATCTGATGACATTAAAATCTATTTTTACTATCAGTAATTAAACTTGTAGCTCAAAAATGCTATAGGTCTCGCAAATTTGTGAATACTTGAAAATGGACAGTCTATATAATACATTACAATACGCACGCTTTTTAGGTCTTGTGACCCCAACGAGCATCCACCCTCCAATCGGAGACATTCAGCATCAAAGTAGCAGGGGTTTTCTTTGGTACATTTTCCATAGGGGTGGCAACCGTCGGGTTGGGTTAGGTCAGGTCTAGCCAGACCTAGACCCGAAAAAATGATATGGGACCCAAACCCGGACCCGACCCAAAAATAAATTATCTATGTAATTAATTATATTTAAATATATTTCGCATATTGGGATCTGAAAAATATTACCGGATCCAGACCCGAGCCTATGTTTGGGTCCAAGATTTGGACTCAGACCCGACCCATCAGGTCCATTTTTTTGACCCATATCCGAACCTGGGTCAGGTCTACCCCTCGGGTCTCGAATCAGGTCTGGGGCCATTGCCACCCCTAATTATTCACCGTCAAACAAACGTTGGACTATGATCTCCCTTGGGCACACGACAAGTACTTAAAAATGCTAATACGGCTTGGAATCTCCTAGGTTGATTGGGATTGGGAGGGGGTAATTTTGATTTAAAGAACATATACTCGATTTGATTTTCTTTATTTTTATTAATAGAATGGTAGAACATAATTCAAGTAGCCGACCCTGAATAGTTGGGTGTAAGGTTTAGATGATTACTATTTATTTCTATTTCATCCATACAATGATCCGCTGGAAAACAGCCCAAGTCGGACCTTAGGGCCAATTCAGATTTTTAGCCAATTTGGGTCCAAAGATACGTTGGTAATTAACTATTTATCAATACAGTCCATTAAGTGATGTTGCAACAACTCATTGTTTTTCTATTTCGGTTAGGCTGTAACCACCCAAAGTATACTTCTTCATTAATGAAGGACTACTTTTAGATACATATGGCACATATTTTTTAAAAGTGAGGTTCAAAACCCCAAACGAGTATTAGTAATGTATTGCCACAAAAACTCTATTTCAAAGGAAATAAGCATTTCCAAAAAGTCACAACAGCATCATACTAAACGGGTATCAATAATGTATTGGGACAAAAACTCAATTTCAAAGGAAATAAGCATTTCCAAAAAGTTACATCAACATCATACTAGACACACGGGACCTCATCAGCAATACCATCTGAGCTTTATCCCAATTATTTGGGGTGGTCTATATGAATCCTATTTTATTATTTTGCTCCATCAATGGTCAAATCATGAGTCACTATGTCTCTTCTCACAACTTTCATTAATGTTATTTTAGGTTTTTTTTCATGTCCCTTTAGAGCTTCCCATTTGAACGAAATCGCCCCTCGGGTGCTCTTCCCTGTTTGATCTTTTGGTAACCAAATTCAAGAGGTTATTTCCCCAAAACTTAGGTCCTCAAAATACATGTAATTTGACTTCTAACTAAGGGAGCAAATAGACAGTATGCTCAAGCAACAGTTCGAAATGACAATTTTGAGTGAGGTTGTGCTGGAGAATTGTAAGTGGCCTGTGGTAGCATTGCGCATACACCCAATGAAGAATAAGACCCATTTCCATGCTCCCTCATGTTAGCATGAAAATAAATTTGCTTTGTTCTTGACCATGAGAAGGTGGGCTGCCATGGCATGTTCTGACCACTACTTAAGGAATTCTTAAGTGCTCATCCTGGCTTGGCATTCCCTCTACTGTGGACACAATATCGGATTTGAAACGTATTGTAAGTTACTCTAGAAGGGTTTTCACTTTAGATCTATGATTTTGCCATTCAAAAAAGAGTACACATTTGATAATTCTTGAAGAATTAAAATGAATAGTGATGAATATCTAAAACAAAGTTAACATAATCTAATTTTAATCTTTATAGTTGAAGATACTCACGAGTGAAGTTCTACAATACTTTACTCATGGCTCGTCACCCTCTAAAGTTTATCAGACGATCATTATTGTCCAATTGTGTTAAATTTTTGCATATTTTTTTACAAATTTGATTAACCTAAAATTTCATGGGTATGTGGGTCTTTAGGTAGGTGCACCTAAAATAAATAAATATAGTAATATATATAATAAAAAGGACCAATTTACCCCTCTAAATATTTATGAGGTATTTTTAGTCATTTTACTTGTGATAATTATTTTTTAAAATAATTTATTTAGGTGCAAGTTAGTTAGATGTACATACATCCCAAATTTCAAATGAATATACTATTTAAAATTTTTATTAACATTCAAACACTATCAGACAACTGACTTTCGATGGTAATGAGCCATGAGTGAAATACTGTAAAATGTCAAATGAGTTTTTTGAAGCAATTTCATATATATATATATATATATATATATATATTAAAAGACAAAGTACTCTACAAATAAATTTTCAGGACATTATCATCGTCAAAGCCTTTTTCTAACTAATTATGGTCGGTTAAATAAAGTTTAAAGACACTTACTACCAAAATATTATTGTACTTTTGTAAAATTTTAAATTTGCCCTTACTTAATACTTGAGTTACATAGAAAATTAATTTTTAAAACAAAAACTCATGGTTTTTAATAAATACACCCATTAAAACATTCTAACATTAGTATTTGTATTTTAAGAGGTTGTTAACTTTAGACAAACCCTATATGTATATGTATATATATATATATATATATATAGGGAAAAGATGAGATTAGCCCACTAGCTCATATTAATATATAAGTCTAACGGCTCAGATTGAATCTAGGTCGATCTAACGATCACGGATGTCTGGTAATATTTGAATTTTAATTTTTTTTTCTACAAATCAAAATCATTTGAAATTTTAGGTGTGTGTTTATCAAAAATAGGTAAATCTTTGAAAAATATCAAAAAAAATATTTTACCTGAAATAAATTGACCAAAATACCTTTAAAAAGTTTTGGGGTGTATTTTGATCATTGTTTTTCACGAATAATTTGTTTTTATATTTTCATTAACTGCTCCTGATGAGAAAACACACACCTTAATTTTCAATTGATTTAGATTTGTAAAATAAATATTAAAATTCAAGCACTACCGGACATCCGTGATAGTCAAATTGGTTCACATTCAATCTAAGCCGTTGGGCTCATATGTTCATATGAGCTAATGGGCTAATTCCATGTTTTTCCTATATATATATAGGGAGTGATTTTATTCAACGGTTCTATAATAATATAATGAAACAATATTTGAAAACCATATTAGTGTTATCTATTTAACCCCAACTTTTAAATATGCATTATTTTCATTCTAACAAACAATCACAAAAGAACAAAATATAAGAATACATCCCATAGAGTATTTTTTAGTAGTCTAGATCGTCCAATTTACTGAGATTCTTAGTTCTCAGCCTTAAAAAAAAATGTCCATTTCCAAAAAAAAATTAAATATCTTTATTATCATTAAATAAATACTGAATAAAAAAGGAAAAAATAGTTTCGAGTTTATAAAGGTTTAGATCTTGAAACTAATTAAAAGAATGGTCTATATTCATTGTTGAAAGGGACTCATTTTGACTGAATCTGAGGCGCAAATTTTTTGGGATGAATAGAAGGTGTGTGCAATTTTCATGGTCATACAAATGCCACAAACATAGTTTTTTAGAAATGTGATTTCATTATATTACAGTGACATATGAGACCACTAACCATTGTTGCTACGAGACTATTTACATTGTTATAAGGAGGTCACAATCATTCTTAGCCATTTGATGTCAAATTATATAGCTTTGATGTATCACTTAACTTTTTTTTTTTTTTTGTGAACTTTGAATTCAGACAATAACAATATTACATCCACCCGATTTGAAATAGGACATAAAATAGTGAATGTGACATGCTTGAGCTAAAAATAAATGGTGTATATTTTTTGTAAAATTTTAGATGCAAAATCTATGCTTGGATTTTTCAAATATGACCGCATTTGAGTAAAGGGTGTGGTTTGTATAAAGCAAAGGCCCTAAAGAATCAAAGTAAGGCGCCCATTCAAAGAGCGTCGAAAGATGTCGTTTCCGTACTGATAATCATTATAATGATTGAAATTTTATTTTCATATCTAATTATAAAATCTAAAGCTTAAAAAATGTTGCAGATCAAGCAGATCCATGAAAACTTGAAAAGTTTGAAAATTAATGATCGAGATAATGCATTACAAGATGTACTATTTCCAATACTTCAAATCCTTTTTTTTTTATGGCCATGTATCTCAAGGTTGAGATGATCGGATTTCAGGGGTTTGCGGCATCAAATCATCTTCTTCTAGTGATTTTTTTAGGTGTGCCTTAGTTTGATTGTTTACATCTTCAACCTTGTATAAACTTTTTCATTAAGTAAATGCATCATTCCCCAAAGGGTGTGCTTTTGTATAAGGCTGATGCTCTAAACAATCAAAATAAGGCACACCTTCAAATAGCATCGAAATATGTTGTTTTAGTACTAAAAATCTTTGTTTTAGCACACCTTCAAACACAT